CCAAGAATAAATCAAAATTTAAAGAATTAATCCAAAATGACTAACAACAAAAATGTCTACAAATTTTTTTTTCTCCTTTTCTTAAATAAATTTGAAATCGCCAATAACGAAATTTCAAAATATTTTTTTTCTCCCCTAACAAGTTCTAAAATTTTAAGAATAAATTGCTATATTATAAATATAAATTTTGAGTTAAAATTCAAATATTTTTTTTTATCCTGTTCTTCCTAAACACAACCACCAGTACATTGCCAACTTCTCTATAAACTGACAAGGGACGACAGTTCATATAAAAGGGGGGCAGTAACAACAATTTTGTTGTCACACTTCTACAAAATTTTTTTATAATTTTTTTTTCTTAACGCAATTACGAGCTACAATAAACTTTAATGAATCGAAGTAAAATAAAACACTTGTATAATTATTATATCTTCTTTATTACGTTAGTCGAATACGAAAATATCAAATTACCGTTAGATTTTTATTTTATTATTTTTTTTACTTACCTTAGAGTTATACTGACACAGAAAACCAGATTTGCGAATTCAGTATTTTCACGTTAAACCACAGCTCATTTCTTTTATCGTAATTTAATTTTTTTTATATTTATTTAATTTTCATTTCTTTTCCTAAACCAGGGAATCAATTGATTTTTTTCTCTCTCTTTTGACAAATTTACTTACCTTTCAGAAAACCATTTATGTAAAAAAAGGAATAAAATTTTGTAAAACTCGAAAGAGTTATCCAACATCACAATATGCCAAGGACACAACACTGGACCACAACATAAACAACACGCATTCATAGCAGCTGACAAGGGACGTCAGCCTAATAAAAGGGGGGCATTTGTTACGGCCGAACTCCGTAACTTTTTAAATTGTTAATATATTTTTTAATTATACTTAAACTAAAATTACGTACATCACTAATTCAAACAACACAAGATTTTGTTAACATACCTTAAACATTTACACAAAAACAACCTTTTGTAATTTCACAAAAGGGACATTCTTCTTTTTGAATTCTTAATCTAAGATATGTTAATCGGATAAAAATCTAGTTCTATTTAATTAATAGATTTAATGAAATTTAACATTCCTTTCAATTTCACAATTTCGAGGTGAAAAACCTAAGAATATAACAGGGTATTTCTTAATGAATTCCTTTCTTGGACAAACAGTTTGTTGACCTTTGGAGAAATATCTAGAAAATATAAAAGAATAAATTTCCCAATATAAGGAGTGGTGCATCCAAGTCACTGAACTTGGAACACGCCACTGCCTAAATCTTCAAGCTTGCAGAATTGGATTGGCAACAGTCAAGTGCAATGAACTTAACATATGATTTCCCCACTAAATCGTCTTTTAATAAAATTGATTGACACTGGAAAATCTGGGCAGTTTAGTACAGGTCGTAGTCATCTGTAGTTGTATCCGGCAGTTTTGGCCAGGCAATTCTAAGTCCGGCAATTGGCCGTGTTGATCGTGAAGATCAAAGTTAAATTTGGAATCCCTGAGCAAGGGATTTTCTCAGAAAGTTGTAAGGGTTTAATAAAAGTTTATTCAGTAAAGTGAATTATAATTGAGAATAATATAAAATAATTTAAAAAAGTAAAGAAAGGTTGAATTTAAAAGTTATATTGAATATAAATAATTAATAAAAGTGATAAGTAAAAAATAATAAAAAAAATAAAAGAAAATATTAAAAAAAATAACAAAGTGAATAAAAAGAAATATAAGAATTTGTGAAAAAATATAAAGTGAAGAAATTAAAAGAGAATATTAAAAAGCCTAGTATCAGCAAGAATAAAATAAAAGTAATTTTAATAAAAGAATATCAATTTAAATATATTTTTTAAAGACAGCCTTTATTTACGGGGTTTAAGTCTTGAATTTGTGCAATAAAAGGGATATTAAAGTTCAAAACGAAATATCAATCTAGTGAACCTAGATTGGGTATATCTTTAGTTTTTCGGAAAAGCAACTTAAAATATACAAAGTTAGAAAGTGTCATTTGGATTATTATTTCATGGAGATCAAATTACTGAGTAGTGAGTATAAAAATCTTACACCACATAACACACACTACAATTTCATTCCCACATATACAAAATACTTTCTTTTACACAGATAAAAATTAGATTATTTGTATTACGGACTTTTGGGCAAAAATATACAATTAATTGATTTCATCTTAATATTGCATTTTAATTTAAACATCCTAATAATTTTCCTATCTTCTCATTTTACTCAAGAGTAGGGTTCTCAACCTCTTAGTTGAATCAATAACTAAGTAGAGGGGGAATCCACTACCTTTACAATTTCTTTTGTCTGAAGGACACGTAAGTTAAAGTTTTAAAAATTATTCTTTTAAAATTAAATTTCTAAATCTTACTTTAACAGTTAATTTTCTGACATTTGTATTTACAAAAAAATCGTGATTTAAAGATTGGTATGTTTTTGGGCCGTGCGCGTGCAGCCGTACCGATAATTCCCGACGGTAGTGTAATTTTCTTTATTAATTTTATTTTTCGTTTCATTGCTTTTCTTTAATTATTTCATTTTTGTGATTTATTATTTAATTTATTATTTATTTAAATATATCGATAATTAATTAATATTATTTATTTATTATTATTTAATTTAATTACTATTATTAAATTTGTTAATATAGATTGATTTTGAGTATTTCACAATATTTTAAAACATCGGACATATTAATTCCTTTGCTTTATGTTTTAAGAACTAATTTGAGAACTTTAAATTTTTTTGGTCGCCGTTTTGGAGCCGCCATTTTAAATTTTTGACTAAATATTTGGCTTTAGAGACCTCAAAAACCCACGAATGAGCATTTTCAGCCAAATTCGTAAACTTAAAAAAATTTTTGGTCGCCATTTTAAAGCCGCCATTTTTAATTTAAAATTTTCAATAACGGATTTGGATTCAGCTACCCCAAAAACCCCCGAGTAGGCATTTTTAGCAAGATTCGTTAACTTTTATATATCCTTTTTTTTCGATGCCGATATAGCGGTCATACACACTGGGGCACGAATTATTTTTGCCTCTATAGACGTCAAACACTGTAAAGGGGTTAATGAAATTTATTTACAATCTCAACTAGTTTCGAACTATATATAGTTTCGGTATTAAAACTAAAACAAATTACGATTTAGTATCAAAATTGGTACTAAATTCGAATCTTTCTTTTTACAGTGTTTGTTTGTCTTTTTTAATTCCTTCGCAGTACTGCACGCAAACAATATTTTATCTGGAACAACTACAAATTTTATTATATTAGCGAAATTTTTAGTTGTTTTATTTAAGACTTTCGCTATTCTAGAGAAAATTATCGTTGTTCCAGCTGAAATGTTATTTCCGTGTGGTTTTGTGTTAAAACCAGTTTTCTGATAGTTTTTTAACTCCGAAATAGTACTGATTCGGTTTTTGAGTCAGTATACTCCCAGTACTGATCGGGTTCCTACAGTCAGTACTGAGGCAGTACCATGCCGGTGTTAAGGGCATTTGAATCATTACAACGTCACCGTTTTAAAACACAAATTTTTCCGGTATCTGCTGTGACGATGTGAATTGTCGTTCTTTATTTTGTCGAAATTCTGAATCGTCATGTCATCTGTCGGAATTATCCCTGAACCGTGATCGTTAATTGGTATGGTAATTTAGAAAGTCGGAACTGCCGTGTGACCCACTATCAGTGGTGAATGTGTGTCGCGCGGCTAGTTAGTAGGAGAGAAAGTGGTAGAGGGCAGAGCCGCTGTCTATTAGAAAGAGATAGAGAGAGGAGAGCCAGCGGAACGAGAGAGAAGAAGAGTTGAAGAAGACGAGCACGTGTGGAGAAAAGCCAGAAACAGGTGTCATTAGTTTTCGCCGACATTTTGGCAGTCAGTTGGCCTACGAGTAATGTAGGAGAGTGTTCTGCGAGAAGTGTAGAAAGAGAGTAGAGGGTCGGATTATCAGAGAAGTGTGTGTTGTCAGAAAACTTGTTGTTGAGAGAAGAAGGTGTCGTTTTGTGAAATAAAACTGAGATTGTGAAAAGTGAATTATTTGAGTGTTGGATTATTTCTCTTCCCTCAATTAAGGAATCCCTTGGAAGGAGTGTGCCTAAATAAGGAAAGAGAGAAACCGAGAAGCGTCGTTGGGGTGAGTCAGTATCGGGCCAGTATTGTACCAGTCGTGTCTCGTCGTTGGCATTTCTGCTTGCCAATTTGTTCAGGCAGAATTTCCTCTGACGATTGAGAGCGTCTCAGAGGTGTTGTTGTTTGTCGGGTTGTTGTTAAAGAGTCGAGCAGTTTATTAATTGAGCTTAAAAATTAATTGGCGCCTGACGGCGAAATTTATTTAATTTAAATTTCATATAAATAGTTGTTGAAAGCGTCGGATTTTGCCTGACGTTTAGCAGAAACTTTTAGCTTAAAATTCAATTAGTTAAAATCTTACGTTACACTGCCTAATAGAGTTTTGAATAATTTTTAGTAGAAGTAATTAAAAAATATTTATAATAATATAGCTTATGTCTGTTATGTACAAACTAATTGAAATTTTAGGTTTAATAGGATTTTTGAACAAATATTAACCTCTCACTTTTTCAAGTTTTACAACACAAATCTTCCCCGTATCTGGTTAAAATTTTTTCCAAAATTATTTTAAACCTAAAATTTTCAATCAATTTGCACATAACAGACGTAATCTATATTGTTATAAACATTTTTCAATAACTTTCATTAAAAATTATTTAAAACTCTATTAACCAGATACCGGAAAAATTTGTGTTGTAAAACTGTGACGTCATATTGGTTTAAATGCCCTTAAACTCCGTCACAGTTCCTGACATTTCTACATGGATAATTCTATAGAGCCACTTAATTAATAGTCAAGTAGCTTATCCATTAAATATTTAGTTCTTGTACAATAGATTTTTTTTATAATTTTTAACAAAACAATTGTGTCTGTATTTATAGTCACGACATGTTTTTTATTTTATAGAATCATTGATGAGTAGACATTTATTTAATGCTGGTGTAGCAAGTTTTCATCAAAGGAAACCTCGAAGTGAAAAAAAACCAATTCCTGACGAACAAAAAGATGACAAATATTTTGAGAGGCGAAAACGTAATAATCAAGCTGCAAAAAAATCTCGTGACGCTCGTAAAATTCGTGAAGACCATGTAAGTTTATAAATAGGTTAATAATAATAATAATAATAATAATCACCAAAAAAATTAAGACTTTTTTCTAAATGTGAATCAGTTTAAATTTTAACTAATTCAGATTTAGAGTATATTTATATTAGAAAACTGAAAAAAAAATATTAAAAACTATTAAAAACTATTCAAAAATATATTCTTATGTGATGAGTACGTTGAAAATTAGTGTATGGCTGATTTCATTTAAATTGACATATTCTTGTTCCTTGAAAAAAAAAATTTTTACACTATCGGCGGAAATTGTGCGACCGCTAACACCTCGAGCTATTAAAAAACATGCCCGCACAGAAACAGTGATAAGTCCGTCAAAAATTCAGCTACATGCTTTTTTTAAATTGCATTGGAAAGCTTATTAAATTTATAATGAAATACCACTATTTTAAGTTGTATTGCATCGATAGGAAGCGAGATACAGTCAACTCTACTAATAGTGCCGCTATCAATAGTGCCACTTCTCCTCTTTCTCGCTCGAGCTCTATCCCCACTTTAGCGACTCTAGCACGGCTTCTGAATTTCGAGTTTCCCCTAAGAGAGAAATATACAAACAGTGGGGGTACTACAGTTCCAAGAAAAGTCGTAAACGCTGTGCAATTTTGCGGCACTATTGATAGAGTTGACTGTATCATGTTATAAACACAAAAAAATAATTCTATTTTTTTCGGAATTTCTTTCCCTGACTTTGAATCCTGGCAACATTTAGAAAAGTTGATAAAAAAAATTGCTACTTTTACAGACTATTCCTTTCTAATTTAAACTTTAAATAGAGACCAAGAACACCAAAAAATATTAACGGGTTCTCAAGAAAATTTTGCTTCGCACGGTCAGACTCTTTTTGTAATATCTTGGGAACCCGTTTTTTTTGCTTCTCTTGGTCTCTATTTAAAGTTTAGATTACAAGAAATAGTCTGTAACAGTAGCAATTTTTTTATCAACTTTTCTAAATTTTGCCAGGATTCAAAGTCAGGGAAAGAAATTCCGAAAAAAATAGAAATATATAATAATACATTATAATATGAAATGAAATATGGAATCGATTTTTTCAGAAAAAATTACGACAAATGACCCTGTCCCCCCACCTTAACTTCTACATATCATAACCTAGTGAACTAAAATTCGGTAGACATACTCAATTTTAAGTGTAGATTACAGGAATATATATATTGTTATATTGTTATATTGCTATATTGTTCCCTTAATCTACACGTAAAAATAAGTATGTGTACTGAATTTCAACTCTCCAAGTCCTTATATTCAGAAGTTAAGGGGGGACAGGGTCATTTTTTGAAAAAATTTTATTTATTTCCTTTCTAGTTTGCAAATATGACAGCCAATCAGGTTTGCTATATTTTTCCTGTAATCTACACTTAAAATTGAGTATGTCTACCGAATTTTAGCTCACTAGGTTATGATATGTAGAAGTAAAGGTGGGGGGACAGGGTCATTTGTCGTAATTTTTTCTGAAAAAATCGATTTCATTCAGTGCTATAGTTCGTAACCATGACTTTCAATCGGGTTCGCTATATTTTTCCTGTAATCTAGACGTGAAAATACGTATCTGTACCGAATTTCAGCTCACCAGTTTGAGATATATAGAAGTTAAGGGGGGCAACCTATTGTGAGTGTCTGGGACGGACTCACGAGTGATTTAAGAAGGGTTCCGTCAGTACACCTACGGTGTTAGGGAACCCTAGAAATTCAATTTTTCTCGCTTTTTATTTGTTTTTATCATGAAAACTAAATTATTTACAACCAAAAGTTAACATGTACATCTATTTTATTACCTTTTGTAAGGTTTTAGAAAAAAAAAATTTAATAGTAAAACATTAATTATCTACTTAAATTTAAAATTAGAACAGTTAGATAAATTAATTATTATCTACTAATGTGCATAAAAAAACTTTAATATGTTGATTATCTTCACTGTGAAAAAAGGTTCTAAATTAGAGCTAATTTCGGTATTGAAATAGAACCATAAATTACGATTTAGTACCAATTTTGGTACTAAATTAATACCTTTCTGTTTACAGTGTTTTGAATAATGGTTATTTTCCCTTAGAGGGTCATCTTATTTTTCCACCTATGCGGTCATGAACAATTTAAATTATTTTAGCAGGGATTTTTTCTACGCTTTTTTAGCACCAAATAGAAGCCTTTAAGGCCTGAGGTCTTTAAAAAAATAGAAAAAAATTTTTTTCGGCCCACCCTATTATTCATCTTACGAACACTTAAAAATGATGGGTATAATAACACTTTCAGTGCCGATTGAAGGACACGATAATCAAGAAAAATAATGAAATCGTATTTTTTAACAATACGCTGGCAAATGTATAAAATCAGTTTTCAAGGAAAATCGCTCAAGAATTGCTTACAACTGCTTAGCGGTTCAGGAAATACAGATTTTTTAAAAATGACATTTTTTACGTAAATTTATCTTTAAATGCCTATAACTCGGTCAAAAATTGATCAAATTGGACGTTTTTATAATGAAAAGTTTTGTTTTCACGCGTAGTTTTTAATAAAAAAATTTTTTAAATAATTTACAATAAGATTTTAAAATTTTTTAAATAAAATTTCATTTTTAACAATGTATGTATTGATCAATTTTTTCAAAATTTTTGTTAGAAACTAGCATTAAATTAACAATTTTTAAGCCTTGTCCGATCGTGGGCAAACTATGGGATCTTTTTATTTTAAAGTTTTTAATTTTTATATATACAGTGGTGGCCAAATAACTAACTTGCCATTTGACAAAATCACACAAATTTTTCACAGCAAATGTGTTTTTAGACTAAGTCTCTACAAACTTAACCTTCTTTCTGTGTAAAATTGAGATTTGGTCAAATGACAAGTTTGGCCTACCGTTTTCAATGTGAATATAAAAATTAAAAATTTCAAAATAAATAGATCCTATCGTTTGCCCACGATCGGACAAGGATTAAAAATTGTTAATTTAGTGCTAGTTTCTTACAAAAATCGATACATACATTGTTAAAAATGAAATTTTATTTTAAAATTTTTTTAATCTTATCGTAAATTATTTAAAAAATTTTTTTAAATATTTTTTTTAAAAACTACGCGTGAGAACAAAACTTTTTATTATAAAAACGTCAAATTTGATCAATTTTTGACCGAGTTATAAGCATTTAAAAAAAATTTACGTAAAAAATGTCATTTTTCAAAAATCTGTATCTCCTGAACCGCTTAGTGAAAAAATTTGAAAAAAATTAAGGTAGCTCATTTCAAAGAGTACTAAAAAAAATGTTTAAAAAAAATTTGAGATGCAAAAGCAAAATAATTTCCGATTTGGCGTGGAATGACTTATGGGTGATTCTACAAACGAAGGACGAAAATCAAAAAAATTTGGACACAACATTTTTTTCTCATTTAAGGTCTGAAAAGTATTTTAACTTCAAGTTAATGGTACTAATAAAGACATCCATAAGTGTCCAGACAAAATATTAAAAATTACAAAAGTTATGGTTATTTATAAACAATTTATCCAGAGAATTAAAATCCTGTCAAGAAAATTCACATTAACATAAAAATTAATGAATGGATTATTATAAAAATGGTTACTGGGGGTTTACGGGGTTGCTGATTAAGAATCCAATGTCAGTTTTTCAAAATTCAAAATGGCGGATCCAATATGGCAAACGAATTTTGAAAAAACTTATCGTATTCGTCTAAAAATCGTTACCCGGGAGTTTTTGAGGTTGCTGATTAAGATTCTAATGTCAGTTTTTCAAAATTCAAAATGGCGGATCCAATATGGCGGACAAATATTTAAAATTCACTTTAAAATCATTGGAAACTACTTACGTGGGGGGTTTTGTAGTGTCGCAGGTTACGAATTCGCAGTCCGTTTTTTGAATTTTAAAATGTCTGATCCATCTACACAGTGGGCCAGGATCGTCAAATTTTGGCCAAAAATACAATTTTTTAACTTTCAAATATGCACAAAAGAATTTATCCACAGTATTTAATAGTAAATAAGGAATTTATTGCATAAAGGATTTGTTAAATAATAAAAAATTGTGTCTTCTGGAACTATTTAAAGTTTATCATTTGAGATAAAATAATAAAATGTTTTTGATTGAAATACTTAATATATCTAGAAATAAATTAATTATTTTTGTATAAGTACTTATTTTTTCTCATCAATAGATATATTGAAGTAAAAAAACCAATAGTTACTTTAAAAAAATAAAATTTATTAAAATGTAGCTCCATTGAAGTTAACAAATAGTGGATTTTTTAATAGAGTGCCGACTTTCAGTTAGTCGAGCTCCTCCGAGCCGCATAATATTTGGAAAAACAAGTTATAGAGCGATTACTTAGCATGTCTACTTTGACGCCAATATGTGCCTTTTTGCGCCTTTTCATATTTTTTCAACATAACAAGAATATTGCAATAAACATATAAATATATGCAATAAATATATAAAGACAATTTTCAACAAGTTGTTCATTTCATGACCATTTAGCTTCCTCAACATATAAAATATAAATTCGTGACGTAATTCACTTACATTTCATATGCAAATTGCTTCTTTTTTATGATAGAATAATCATTTAAAAATATTAATATTAAATAAATTATGAAAAAATACAAAATTTGTTTTTGTTGTGAAAAAGAAAAATTTCTATTAATTTTATAAATTTTGATAAAAAATATACTTTGTATACATCAATCGATGTGTTTCCTTGTCAGGAATGTAATTTTGAGAATAATTAATTAAAATATTAGCAAAATTTCAAGACAATCCATCAAAATTTGTTTGAGATAATTTGTACACAATTTTTGTGACATACACAAACACACATACATCTGGACATTTGCTCAGAATTGAATATACATATGTTATAGATGAAAATGAGTCCATATAACCTTCTTTTGAAAAATTGAAAATCGTCACGAATGCAAAGCTTCCTTATGAGGAAGCAAAATTAATCAATTATGA